AAGCGTGGAAGAGTTGGCCAGAAATACCCACGGGGCTGGGGACTCTCTTTAGTGTGGAGCGAGCGGGGCATTGCACGGCCGCACCGTTGCCATTCTCCCGCGGTGTGTCGTTGCGTTTCGGCTTTCTTGCCGCGTCTCTCCGCGCAAGGCGGTTTCATTAAGCCACAGGTCACTCCGCTGCTTTGGTTCCGTGAACAGATTACGTTTGGGGGGGGGGGGGCGGGCGGCTTATTAAAGTTCGTATATTTTCTCTGTGTCTGCCGCTCTCTGCGAGATTATGTTTGGGAAGGAAGTGTGAGGATCAGATAAGCGAGCCCCCCCCTCTCCCCTCTCTCTTTAATTCAGACTTCTCCCGTGGTGTTCCCTGCCAGGCGTCGTGCAGGATACGGTCGTGCGGAGAGCAGCTAATTTTCATGGCCCTGCGGAGCCGTTTGAAGTTCTCTCATACGTTGGACGGAGCCCAAGTGACCAGGCCATTTGATCTCCCCCTGCCCACGGATGGGATGGGACCCAAACCCTGCTGTGTTTTGATCTCTCGCCCCCTCCTCTCGCAGCTCTCTCTAGCCACGCTTTACTCTCTCACACCTCCCACTCCTTGGCTCGGTTTGCTCACTCAACTCCCCCACAGGCAGTTCTCACCTTCCCCCGCTCTCTCCCTGCTCTCTTCCGATCTCTGGATGCCTCCACTGGCATCTCGCTGATAAATCCACGCTCTTCTCACACTTGCCACTCTCTCCTACTTTCTCTCTCTCTCTCTCTGACCCCTACTTTTGAAAAACTGCCTCCAACCACATCGGCCAATTTTCTCTGTCCATGAATCGCAGGTGTTACAGGGCCTGTGACCTCTAACTCCCTCTGGACATCTGTCAAAAAGCGACGTAAAGTTAATCGGATTCCTCCAGTTTAAACAAATATTCTGATTCTTCACATTCACCACCACGCGCCACCACTCACCACCACTCACTAACATTCATCACACTCACCACCACTCACCACACTCACCACCATTCACCACCATTCACCACACTCACCACCACTCACTACCAATCACTACCACTCACCATACTCACTACCACAACTCGCCATCATTCATCACACTCACCACCATACACCACACTCACTACCACTCACTAACATTCACCACCGCTCGCCACCACTCACCACCATTCACCACGACTCACTAATATTCACCACACTCACCACCACTCACTACCACTCACCACCACTCACCACCACTCACTAACATTCATCACACTCACCACCACTCATCACACTCACCACCACTCATCACACTCACCACCATACACCACACTCACTACCACTCACTAACATTCACCACCGCTCACCACCACTCACCACCATTCACCACGACTCGCTACCATTCACCACACTCACCACCGCTCGCCACTACACACGCGCTCGCACTTGTAGGCTCACCCACTTCCAACTGCGTGAGCGCCGTGGTGGTGGCAGCGTCCGGGGGGGGGGGGGGGGGGGGGGGAGTCTTGTGTGGCGGAGGTTTCGTGTGCGAGTCTCGCTCCGTGCTCTCAACGTGGTCGCCTCACCCTGCCCCCTCTCAGCTCCCCCCCCCCTTAGATCACCCCCCCCTCATTTGTCCTCTGTCTCAGTCAGCTCGTTTTGAAGTCCCTCCTCTGAAGCGCGCTTTCATGAACGATTTAATAAATAGACACAAAAATTGAAAGAAAAAAACCCACCGACGCGCACACAAAGCGGGTCCGTGTGGGGATCGCAGCGTTCGCGAGATCGAGCTCGGACCTCGAGATGAAAATCCCCGCCTCCTTTGTTCTCAAAGTGCTCCCGGGTCAGAGACTTCCGTGGAGACGGACGGAGACGCAGACAGAGAGAGATCTTTGTGATCCGCGATTATCTCAGAATCAAAGGTCCCCCCCCCCCGCTCCGATTTGAAACGCTCGGTTCTTCACTCGCACGCGCGCCTGGCTTGCCTCTCACTCCAGCCGCTTCCTCCCGCAAGTTTAAACGCTCATTTGTTGGCTGATGATAACATCTGAATTTACTTTCACCCCTCTTCGTATTACGCGGCTTTCACTCATTGACCCCCCATTCATTCAATTCATTCATCAGCATTTACTGCCATCAATTTCACTTTCACCGAATTCACGTATCATCACAGGTTCCTCCCCCACCCCCCATCGCTTCCTCTCTCCACCATTGCATCCATGTTGTGCCGTAGTGAATTCTGTGCAACGCGTCTTGCTTAAGGAGCTCTGCAAATTCCTTCAAGGTCCCAAGAGAGGCTCAGGAAAGCGTGGCACTTGGTGGCCATCCATTGATAGCTTGCGTACGGGGGAGTGGGTTGAAGCCTCAATAATTTGTCTACATTGGCCTTCAAATGAGTGAGATAGTCCGGCGGCGGACTATCTGTTTGCTTAAACGCGTTAATGTTATTATTAATCCTTGATCGTTTCTGCGTGGATTAAATATCGGCCGTGGGGTGGGAGGAGCGAGATGCGTTATGTGCCTCGCGTGGTGGATTTGCCACCACCACCGCACCGCACGTAAATCGCCGGCGGCCGCTTCACTAATTTGTGGAGCTCAATTTTAACGCCGCTTCTCCAGGGAGCGACGGAGAGCCTCGCAGCAATCGTTAAGCGCCGATTAACAAAAAAAACCCACCTTGACTGCAAGGTCTGTGTTACGCTCTCCGTGGAAGCGCTCGGCACTCCAAGTAGCCAAACGAACGCAGACTTGGGTACAGATTGTCCTCCGTGCCCAGGGCTTGATGATTTCCCACCGATTGTGTTTGTTGTTGGTCGCTGGAAGACCGCGGCTCGTAACCAGAGCCAGAGCGAGGGGCAACGGTGGATGCGGTGTGGGGAATATATTTTTTGTCGTATGGTTTGCTGACCCAGATAGACTCGGTTCAATCACCATCTGACTTGACCGCGAAGTGGATTTGTCGAGTTTCTCGTGACGATGATTAAACGGAATGTCTCCGTGGCAAGGCATCATGGGTAGACCCACAATGCTTTGCACGCCCTCTGCTGGTTTGCATGCGCACAGCAACATCTGCCGTGGACAACAACATCAACACGTTCCGACAGATTATCCCGTCGTGTCGTCTGCCGTGCGCGTATTTCATCTTATTTCGACAAATTTGAAAGAAAAACGAAATACTCGCAAATTGTTCCTTTGGAATATACGCAGCAATCATCGGCCCCTTCTGAGAAAACTTGGCAGGACCCTCCCGAAAAGAGTCGCGAGACTCGGCGAGGTAATGCCTGGGTTTGCAATATTACTGACATTTCTCTATTGTTGGATCTGCTCCAATAGTTTGCCGTTGATGGGGTTCCATCACCTCTTTTTAATGCGTCGCGTTTCCTGCGACGACACGACAGCACACGCGGTCGCATTTCGACGCCGTGTAAATGGAAATTGTTTATTGTTCGGTCATTGTAACTTGGGCTTCTGCGCTGCCCGTCCCGGGTCAGGGTTGCCGTGGGTGGTGCCGATCGAGTCCGCCGGGGGTCAGGGCCTCCCTGCGGCAGGGCGCGGCCGCCGCCACGGTGGGCGCGGTTTGATTTTGCGGACCGTGGGTGGCCGAGGGGTTTCCTGCTATGGCCTCCCGACAGCTCTCCCGCACAGCGGCAAGCGGGTGCCATGACGGGCGCATGGGGCAGTGAATGGGTCCACCATTTGGTAGGGCAGTGAATGGGTCCACCACTTGGTAGAGCAGTGAATGGGTCCACCACTTGGTAGGGCAGTGAATGGGTCCACCGCTTGGGAGGGCAGTGAATGGGTCCACCATCTGGGAGGGGAGTTGTGCTGAGTGTGGTTAACAGATTTACCACCTTGGAAGGTGGTTTTGCCGAGTCTAAGCTGTGCTTGGTGGTTGTGAGTGAAGGGTGGTTATGTCAGTGTGTGCGTGGCTGTGCGCAAGCATCTGTTTGCCCATAGGCATTGGTGTGGGCGCCGTGGGTCTGCATAACTCCAAGCCGGACTGATGGAAGCGGGAGGCTGCCGATATTTATACCCCTCCGCTGTAGGGTTTCAAAATCAGCAGGCGGCAGAGTAGGCCAAACACCCTTTCTAGAGCTTCTTCTAGTCGAGGCCCTTCCGCCAGCGGTATCGTGAGCGAGCAATCGCAGGGCTGCACCTTTACCTTTTTTTCGCGTTTAAATCGGTTGCGTTGGCAAGTTTCCATTGGCAGACACACACGTGCGTGTGTGTGCGTTTATGAGAGCTCATGGGAGCTATGTGATTCATGCATTTTTCTCTGAAAGGTTTATTTTTAATGGGAAATTGCTCCTCGGGCATGGAAAGATTGCCGCAATCCAATTTGCCTCCCATTTAATTGGAGGTGGTGGTTGGGGGGTGATGGAACGGTGGCGCAGTGGTTAGCGCACTGGCTGCGCTATGAACCCCGGCAACCTGCGTTTGATTCCCTCTCCACGGCTGACGTCGGTGGCGAGCGATATCCAAAGCGGTCCACTTCTCTGACTCGCGCTGGCCAGAGGGGCTGCCAACTACATTGTCGTCCGGCTCTCCGTCACGTGTTGGGGTTGCGCCGTGTGTTGTCCGGCACGGTGATTTGGGCATCGCGAGAGATATATCCGTCGCCAGAGTTCTCCGCAGGGACGACCGTGAAACTCTACGCAGCAGACTTTGGCGTTGTTGCTCTGCGCAAGTTGTTCGGGGCCTGTGGAGTGCTTTGCCTGGTTTCGCAGGAATAATGATGAAGGAATGATGAAGGCAATTTTTGAGTGTGGCTCTCACGGCTGAGTCCGGCATGTGTGTGCCCCAGTGAACCGGTTCTGGGCCTTCCCTAGGTCGACTCAGCCTCAAATGAATACCTGTGTGGTGTATAAACATCGCCACTGGGGAGACAAAGGCGGCCGGGCGTGGTGCTGGCCACCCACCCCCTCGTGCGCCGTATTGCCTTTCATAGGCGCTCGCTGACAGCACTTGCCCCAACAGTCTGTTAAGGCTATACGGAGGATCTTTGTCTTTGTGCCCCACAGCGCAAAGCCAACGGCCAGGCCCTGCTCAACGCGACGTACAGCCACCTCAACCTCTCCGAGTGCGACTACTTCAGCCTCGAGTTTGTCGACCGCACCGGCAGCCTAGTGAGTACGCTCGAACGGGCTCGGATTCGTACGCGCACGGGCTGCGATGTCAGGCGCACATGGGTTAATGTACACACACGCATTGGCTACGATATACACACACGTCGGCTAGAGGGCACACGTAGGATAGGGAACACGTGGGCTGGAGGGCACACACATGGGCTACGAGATACACACTTTGCCGTTCCGCCGCCTTCTCCTGGCAAGCCGGAGCGTGGCACCTCCTCGACGCCACCGGACGGGAGTTTAGCAACATCCATGCAATCTACCGACTCTCGCTTCCCTCCGCGGGGCTTGGATTCCAGGCAGCCACGTGCGTAGCCACGACCTGCCGCCTAAATGTGCACAAAGACACGCACGTGCATTGCACGTGCACACGGATACGGGTGCAAACAGATGGGTTGGAGGGGGACGGGGGTTTGTTTTTGCTTATTGGCGCAGCGTGTTAGGATGCGGTGGCATTCGGCGGCTACGTGAACCACCCGAGCGATCCGCTGGCCCTCGGCGGTTTCACGGTAGAGCCGTGACCGGTGGCGGCGGCTCGTCAACGGTGGCCTCGCGATCGCTCGCCGGCGGAGAGACTTGCCGTCCGTTCCCGGCACACGGGAACGGACGTCATTTATGGACGGCCCCTTACCTGGAAAAATAAATAAGTTAAAAAGTTTAAAATAGTTTAAACCTCCGCCCGTCAACTAGACATCGATGTGATAATAGAAGGAACTCGTGCGTATAGCGGATCGCGTGGGGGTGACGCGGGGTGGGGAAGCGACGTGGACGGCGGCGTCTGATGAAACCGCTTCAATCGCCGGGGCGCGTGTGGGCGCTTCCCCGCCCCCAGCGCCCCCCCCCCCCCAACTTCGGATGAATTCCTCTGTTTCTATCTGCCCCCCTCCCGCTTCTCCGCAGGTCTGGCTCGACCCGCTGAAGACGGTCGTGAAGCAAGTCAAGAGTGAGTGTGGGCATCCGCCCGGTTCTGCCGGGCTGGTCGCTATCCCCGTGACGCATCTCCGGCACTCCGTTGTTGGTCTTCGGCCGCGGTTTAAAAATCGGTTCAGAGCGGAGGTCCTCATCCCCCGCGAATCGGGGGGGGGGGGCGAGTAAAAAGCCTTTTCGGTCGCGAACACTCGTGCCACGCAGCAAGAAGGGCCTGGGCTCAATTCCCGACCCAGATGCCTTTTTGCGTGGAGTTTGTATGTTCTTCCTGCATTTTGTGCAGTTTCCCGTCAATAGCTTAAAAAAAAACACTGTGACCGGTATCGTCCAAACATCCCAGTGATCAGAATGAGAATCTTTATTTTCATACTGAAGGAATCAAACGAGCTGATAGAGCTCTTGTTCACAGATGTCCAGCGCTGAAAATACTGTACCTGCAAATTACTCAGTGGGGATCGGGCGCAATGGCAACGTCGCCCCCTGCTGCGGAAAACTTGGCAGGAACCTCCTGAAAAAGAGTTGAGCCTCAACGAGGCTTTCATGCGTAAACAAACAGTAACAATAACAATACGGATTTTACTCGCACAACATCATCTCATTTAAATCCGGAGCAATGCAGCGCCGGTGCTGACGCTGCCGCTTGCGCCTCCTCTCTCGTTGTTCCCAGAGCCCAAGAACACCACCTTCAAGTTCGCCGTGAAGTTCTTCCCTCCGGAGCCCGGCCAGCTGCACGAAGAGCTCACCAAGTGAGTGTGCACATCTCACTACCAGGGTCACCGCGGTCGCCAGATGACCAGCCAACCAGGCCAATTAGGTCACCAGCCAACAAGGCCATCGAACCACAAGACTACCACAGGCTACCTGGCCACCAGGTCACCAAGCTTCCAGACAAACCAGATTACCAGGTCACCAGACAACCAGGTTACCACGATACCAGATGCGGCCGAGTATTTCAGGGGGCTGATGCTATTTCAGAGTGCTCGGCCATTGTCAGAGAGTACATATTCTCCGTGAATATTTGGTCCTGAATATTTGTTAATTTGTCTCCACGAGTCCAGTGACCCAAGGGAAAAGACCTCGGACCAGACGATGGGCCGAGTCATTCCCCAGCCAGGATGTGAACTCACAACCTTCCGATTGTGAGCTGCTCACTCTACCGCTGCGTCACCTGGGCGGTTTTAATATTGGTCTGGAAATACAAATTTATGCTGATGGACCAAACCATGGTTTTGTTTGCATGTGGAGCCACAGAGCCAAGGTCTGCTTACATTTGCATTTGCCCACATATACAAGTTTTTTCTGAAACGCAGCGATTTCTTATCTCCTGGCGAAGCAAAGACTGGAGTGGATTTGCTCGCGAGAGGAGCGGGAGCGCCACGTCGCGCGTCCCCCCGACCGCTTAATTCCCGGCCGCGAGCGGTAACGACGATCGGCCACGTTAAGCGCTCGGGATGAGTTCCCCCGTGAGAGGGATTTATTGAGAGGGATAGGATTTAGAAAGCCCCTTCCCTGCGCGTCTCGGGGGGAGCTCACGATGAAAGCGGCCGTGCCGGGCGGAGCGTCTCGGACACCGGCCAACGTCCCTCCTCGCGGTGCGTCCTGACCAGGCCCGCTCCACTTTTCTCGATGGTCCATACGATGCCTCGAATAACTTGCGTACGCTCCCAAATCCACGTGTTCGTCTTCCCGTCTCTCGCTCACGAAGTGTCGCCTGGGCATCCGCAGGTACCTCTTCACCCTCCAGATCCGCCGGGACCTGCTAACCGAGCAGCTGGTGTGCAGCGACAACGCAGCTGCTGCCATCGCCTCCTACTTCCTGCAGGGTGAGAGGCACAGCTGTGCTCGTGCACGGGGAGGGGGACACTCTGTAAAGGAGACATTGCTATTGTATTTTCTGGATGTTTTAGTGTTTTGTGCACTTGTAATGACTTCTCTTGAGATGGCACTTTATTGAAGACACTTTCACTTGACATCAGGCGGAGATCCCCACCTCAACAGCTCCGGGTTTCCCGCGCATCTCCCTTATAAATCAACACGAGGCCACGCCCCCCCTTCTCGATCATTCTCGCTGACGGGACGCTCGCTCCACCGTCCTCTTCCACCACCTGACCACGCTCCCTTCTCGATTATTCCCGTAGCCACCAGTCCCTTCGCACTCACAACTGACTCCCCTGTCATTACCTCCCGTAGCCACTAGTCCCTTCACACTCACAACCGACTCCCCAGTCATTACCTCCCGTGGCCACTAGTCCCTTCACACCGCATGCAGGCTCTGTCATGACACACGTTCGTGTTGCCTGGTAGGGTGCCTGCGATGTAGTGTAGTGGCCGTATGTGTGTCTATGTTGCGGATATATGTGGCTGCGTGCAGTTGTGTGCGCTCGTGTGCGGTTGAACGCAGTTGCTTGTAGTCGCGCCGTGCTGAGCGCCACCGCCGCTTGTGCCCGTGTCCCCCAGCTGAAGTGGGCGACTGCGATGAGTCCGTGGGGCGGCAGCACCTGGAGCAGAACAAGTTCCTCCCCACCCAGGAGACCTTGGCTCCCAGAATCCTGCAGCTTCACAGGGACCACTCGTGAGCATCGCACACACAACCGGCACACTCGGCCTGGCCATGTCTCTATCCATCTCTATCCACCAGACTAGGCTGCTGTAGCCTGTGTCTCTATGCACCAGGCTAGGCTGCTGTAGTCCGTGTCTCTATGCACCAGGCTAGGCTGCTGTAGCCTGTGTCTCTATCCATCTCTATCCACCAGGCTAGGCTGCTGTAGCCCGTGTCTCTATGCACCAGGCTAGGCTGCTGTAGCCCGTGTCTCTATCCATCTCTATCCACCAGGCTAGGCTGCTGTAGCCTGTCTCTATCCACCAGGCTAGGCTGCTGTAGCCCATGTCTCTATCCATCTCTATTCATCAGGCTAGGCTGCTGTAGCCCGTGTCTCTATGCACCAGGCTAGGTTGCTGTAGCCCGTGTCTCTATCCATCTCTATTCATCAGGCTAGGCTGCTGTAGCCCGTGTCTATATCCATCTCTATGCACCGGGCAAAGCTGCCGTTAGCCTGTGTCTCTCCCTGGAGCTCGTGTGCATGAGCAAGTTGTGGCATCGATGGCATTGGCCATGATGAGTCCGCTGGAGCCTGTCTCTCTCCCTAGGGCCACTCCTCCGTGCCCCCTGCGTCTCTGTGCCCCAGTAGCCCCACTTTGTCCGCCGCGTGTGCCTGCCAGCAGGGGCCAGTCGCCGGCGGAGGCCGACTCTCAGCTGCTGGAGATCGCGCGCCGCCTCGACACGTACGGCGTGCGGCTGCACCCGGCCGTGGACAAGGAGGGCTCGAGCATCAACCTCGCGGTCACCCACTCTGGCGTCTCCGTCTTCCAGGTGAACCACCGCCGCCACCACTGCCGCCAGGGCCCGCATAGCAGCACTACGCGGATTTAGACGGACGGAGGACGAGTGTCCCGCGTAACGACCTCTCCGCTTCTTTCGCCCGTTACCGTCACCCTATCAAGGAAATCCCCGAGCCTTGAGACCCGTTTTCATTCGCCGGTGTCGGCGTCCGATGACAATTTTCCATTCCCTATTCTGGGCACGGGGGGGGGGGGGGGGGGGGGGAGCCGTGCGGTGCAGGGAATGCTTTTTATTTTTTAGAGATGGGCACCGAGTCCCTGCCACCTGTATCCCTCGGACTCTCTACTCAGCATTCACTTCTGTTCTGCACCGCGAATATCCTACATTTTTATTTTCATTGTCAGGTGGATTTTTTTTGCCAAGTGAAGGTAAAAACCAGTTTTGTCTTGGGTGCAGTCACTGGTGCGACTGGGCTGAGGAGAGACTCATTTGCCTGCAGTATTTGCCGGCAGTACATTTCAACGTGATAAGCCACTTCGTTGAGCGATCATTTGTGGGCAGGTCGCTTCTGAAAAAGAAGCGAATAGCTCAGTGAGCTTTACCGGGTAAAATAAAAATTGTTTAATTTATTTATGTATAGTGCAACTTTCTGATCCGCCTCTACTGGACATCAGATTTCTCCAGGATAAATACATGTTTTGACACTTCAGAACCCGGATGAAACCCAGAATTCAAACTCAGGATCTCAGTAACGTCTGTTCAGCGTCTCTGTGACACGGCACGAGTTCCCTGAGCCACCAGACCGTCTCGCGATCTCAGTGTTTAGACGTTTGGCAAGCGCCCGTTAATTTCCATCTGATTATGCATGCACGCATTGGGTAAAATGTTTGCAAAGCAGCGTATAATTACGTCTCAAAATAACTCTGTCCACATCCTTGCCCCCTTAGCGCCCCTCCCTCCCTCCCTCCCTCCCCTCCCTCGTTGTCCCTGCTGGTCCGCACCACAAATGGTACAGATTGTACTGATCCGGCGGCTAAACAGCCCCAGTATTTGGAAGATTACGAGTTCAGATACCGGCCAGGAGGTCGACTCAGCCCATCATCCTTTCTGCGGTGCATAAAATACGTACTACCGCTTTGTGGGAGTCAGCGTCGTTGCCGACGGCGGCATCGTCCTTTCTCGTTATCCGTCGTCTCTCAGCCTTCGCGTCCACCCACCTACTATCCTGTAAACCGATTCCATTGACGGCGTATCGATATTCATCGTCGCGCCTTTCAAGAACGCAACTCCCGTTGGCCCTGGAGTTGCTGAAACGGTGAATTTGCGCGCTCATGCGTACGTCTGTCGTTGGTGTGCGTGCGCACGTCTCTCGGCCCGCATGTGCAGAGCGCCACCAGGATCAACGCCTTCAACTGGGGCAAGATCCGCAAGCTGAGCTTCAAGAGGAAACGCTTCCTCATCAAGTTCCATCCGGACTGCGAGGTCAGGCACCACCCCAACCCGCCGCGCCACCCCCACCTGCCACGCCCCCCACCCGTCACGCCCCCCCCATCACCCCCCCCCCCCATCACCCCCCCCTCAACCCATCACGGCCACGGATGCAAACGGCACTCGCCGGGAGACCTGGGACTAACGCTAATCCACTGCTGGATGAGGGCCCCTGTTCATGGGTGCTCGCTCACAGCACTTGCCAAAGCAGCCTGTGTGGGCTACACTTTGGGGGGACCTTTGCCTGTGTATGCGTGCACACTCGTGTCTCTGTTCCCATGTGTCACGTTACCTGGTGTGTGCTGCATCCCAGTTTTCGTCTCTGTGTCTCCCTGTGTATCTCCCCGTGTGTCCCCCCGCGCGTCTCTGTGTCTCCCCGCATATCTCCCCGTGTGTCCCCCCGTGTATCTCCATCCCCACGCGCATGCAGGGTAAGTACCGCGACACGCTCGAGTTCATCATGAAGAGCCGCGACGCCTCCAAGCTCTTCTGGAAGAACAGCGTGGAGTACCACGCGTTCTTCCGCCTCCTCGAGCAGCCCCCGCTCAAGCCCAAGCCCGTCCTCTTCAGTCGCGGCTCCTCCTTCCGCTACAGGCAAGTCCGGGGCACCTGTGCCGGTCGCGTCTCGTTCGTCGTCACGTTGCCACGTCGTCGTGCCCGTGCCGCGCCGATGAGCTGCGAGACAGCGAACTGGTTCCGACTGCCTTTGCGGGGGTCACCCGCGGGTAACCCGGCCCTTACGCGGAAATCTAGCCAGGGGCGCCCATGTGGTGTGGCCTCTTTAGTGAAACTTCATGGGGGGGAAGTGGCTTAGAATTTGGGCAATCAATTCTTTATTTCTATAGCACCATTTTCGTGCAAAGGACGCCATTCAAAATGAGATGCTACGATATGCATCTCAGCGGGCGGTCAGACCAGGCGATTCGAATGTTTACGTATATTTATTGTAAAAATCTACCTGTGAATGTTTTTTTATTGAAACCATTGTGTCCCATCTATGACATGGAAAGCTGCGTTGCGGCGAATGTGAACGCGCGGTGTTCCCACCCTGTCTGTGTTCAGCGGGAGGACCCAGCGGCAGCTGGAGGACACCGTGAGGAGCAGCGTCAGCAAGGGCAGCATCGCATTCGAGAGGTGAGGGTCCTCCCAGCACGGTGCGAGTGTGAGTTTCACCCAGCACGGAGCGAGTGTGAGTTTCACCCAGCGGGGAGCGAGTGTGAGTTTCACCCAGCACGGAGCGAGTGTGAGTTTCACCCAGCACGGAGCGAGTGTGAGTTTCACCCAGCGGGGAGCGAGTGTGAGTTTCACCCAGCGCGGAGCGAGTGTGAGTTTCACCCAGCACGGAGCGAGTGTGAGTTTCACCCAGCGGGGAGCGAGTGTGAGTTTCACCCAGCGGGGAGCGAGTGTGAGTTTCACCCAGCACGGAGCGAGTGTGAGTTTCACCCAGCACGGAGCGAGTGTGAGTTTCACCCAGCACGGAGCGAGTGTGAGTTTCACCCAGCGCGGAGCGAGTGTGAGTTTCACCCAGCGGGGAGCGAGTGTGAGTTTCACCCAGCGGGGACCGAGTGTGAGTTTCACCCAGCGGGGAGCGAGTGTGAGTTTCACCCAGCGGGGAGCGAGTGTGAGTTTCACCCAGCGCGGAGCGAGTGTGAGTTTCACCCAGCGGGGAGCGAGTGTGAGTTTCACCCAGCGGAGAGCGAGTGTGAGTTTCGAGTGTGAGTTTCACCCAGCGGGGAGCGAGTGTGAGTTTCACCCAGCACGGAGCGAGTGTGAGTTTCACCCAGTACGGAGCGAGTGTGAGTTTCACCCAGCACGGAGCGAGTGTGAGTTTCACCCAGCGCGGAGCGAGTGTGAGTTTCACCCAGCGGGGAGCGAGTGTGAGTTTCACCCAGCGGGGACCGAGTGTGAGTTTCACCCAGCGGGGACCGAGTGTGAGTTTCACCCAGCGGAGAGCGAGTGTGAGTTTCACCCAGCGGGGAGCGAGTGTGAGTTTCATCCAGCGGGGACCGAGTGTGAGTTTCACCCAGCGGGGACCGAGTGTGAGTTTCACCCAGCGGAGAGCGAGTGTGAGTTTCACCCAGCGGGGAGCGAGTGTGAGTTTCACCCAGCGGGGACTATTCGGGTGGTCTTGAAGTTTTGACTCTTGACGTGTCCCTACCTTATTCTTCGTTTTTTTCGGTAAAGTCACGTAGGTATAAAAATAAAATAAAATAAATCACGACGTTTCGGGCGCAACACAAGCGTCCGTCATCAGGTGTCCCTACCTGTGGAACTTTGGTTTTTTACATTAAGGAATGTGTTGGTATATTCATAATGCCACGTTGTTTACGTGATAAACCTTACTGGCTGTGTCGGGTGGTGGAGGGTCACGACACATTTATACTAACGCCATCTAACCCAAAAAACTTTATGAATATTGGTCGCCAAAGCCTACGTATTAAAGGTTTCTGTCTGCTGTAGTAGTAAAAATGGGGTACGTGGCTTGTGTGTGTGCCTCAAATGAGTACCTGGTGCGGTGTGTAAACATCGCCACTCGGAAGACAAAGGCGTCCGGGCGTGGCGCTGGCCACCCACCCCATCGTGTGCCGTGCCGGCCTTCACAGGTGCTGCCTAACAGCACTTGCCCCAACAGGCTGTTAAGGCTACACGGGGGATCTCTGTCTTCGTGTGCATGTTTGTGGCACTCTACGAGCCCTCGTCTCTCATCTTCTTCGCCCGCACGCCGCCGCGGCTGCGCGCCAGATATCCCGGCTCAGGGGCCCGGCTTCTCTACATGAACCATTCGGCAGAGTTCCTCGCCGAGACAGTATTTTGACCCCTGTGGAATTCCGACCCCCGCGGTTTGATATCTATTTAGTATTTGAACTCCTAAGGGTCCAAATGCTATGGGGTCAAACATTATCTCACACCGCCACGAGGAGCCATTGCCTCGTGTCGTCAGATTTTCCTGGATTCGCCGCTTGAGCCGGTGTCACATGAAATCTATATATTGGTAAATGTATTAATTAATTATCACCCATGCACCGACTAAAAAAATCCTATTTTCTAAAATCTATCTTTGCCCACCAGGAGGCAGTGGGGACCCACGTGGTTGACTTAGAAATGTGCCCGTTGTGATATTGATAGTTTGTTTTGAAAGGATAAAATTCTGGATTTCTAGGGCCCTTCGATGCCTCAGAAAATCAAAGCGCCTTGCATCCAATCTCTTCTCAACCATACTAATGCCATGCTGTAGTCTAGCTTAGGGACTCCCCAGAGGCAGCTGTCCCTGTGTGGCACAAGTTGAATGTAGCACCGGCTTGAATGAGTCTGTCAGTAGGCGGCAATGTTTCTGTGCGTTTTTTCCCCAATACAAAAATGTGTAAGTCATCTATCAAATTTGGCAAATTTGGACCGCGAGGCCACATTTTAACTGCTGTGCGTCCCGTGCTGTGTGCCAACAGACGTTTCCCGCGTTTGGTACCTTCTGTGTTGTGTGCCGATCGTGCTTTGTATTCCTTGCCGGCGTCTATGCCGAGCTGTCTGCTCACCTGTGGGTAGCGTTGTTCCCATTGCCCTGGCCGCCATGTGCTCACCATCGCCCGCTTCCCGTCCACAGGAGGAGCAGTCGCCCCCGCGCCTCCCCGAGAAGCCCAGGACTCAAGGCTGCCTCCCAGCTGACCAAGACACCCAGCACGCAGGTTTGTCTAGGCCTCACGCTGCTCTGTCTAGGCCACACGCAGGTCTGTCTAGGCCTCACGCTGGTCTGTCTAGGCCACACGCTGGTCTGTCTAGGTGACACGCAGGTCTGTCTAGGCCACACGCTGGTCTGTCTAGGCCACACGCTGGTCTGTCTAGGCCTCACGCTGGTCTGTCTAGGCCTCACGCTGGTCTGTCTAGGCCACACGCTGGTCTGTCTAGGTGACACGCAGGTCTGTCTAGGCCTCACGCTGGTCTGTCTAGGCCTCACGCTGGTCTGTCTAGGCCTCACGCTGGTCTGTCTAGGTGACACGCAGGTCTGTCTAGGCCACACGCTGGTCTGTCTAGGCCACACGCTGGTCTGTCTAGGTGACACGCAGGTCTGTCTAGGCCACACGCTGGTCTGTCTAGGCCACACGCTGGTCTGTCTAGGCCTCACGCTGGTCTGTCTAGGTGACACGCAGGTCTGTCTAGGCCACACGCTGGTCTGTCTAGGTGACACGCAGGTCTGTCTAGGTGACACGCTGGTCTGTCTAGGTGACACGCAGGTCTGTCTAGGTGACACGCAGGTCTGTCTAGGCGACACGCTGGTCTGTCTAGGTGACACGCAGGTCTGTCTAGGCCACACGCTGGTCTGTCTAGGCGACACGCTGGTCTGTCTAGGCCACACGCTGGTCTGTCTAGGTGACACGCAGGTCTGTCTAGGCCACACGCTGGTCTGTCTAGGTGACACGCAGGTCTGTCTAGGCCACATGCTGGTCTGTCTAGACGACACGCTGGTCTGTCTAGGCCACACACAGGTCTGTCTAGGTGACACGCTGGTCTGTCTAGGCGACACGCTGGTCTATCTAGGCCACACGCTGGTCTGTCTAGGTGACACTCTGGTCTGTCTAGGCGACACGCAGGTACGGTTAGGCTCGTGTCTCTCAACTCCTTATTGGTCACATGATACCCTGGACGCTCTTGCAAATGAGATTAACCAGGTAAGATGTTTTAGTAAATAACAAATTGTGACGAATCCACAGTCCCGCTTTTTCTAGCCACCAATATTTCCTCTTCATATGCATATGAACCCACCGCACACACCCGATGGTTGCTAATCACAGAAAGTTGTGCTGCGGGGACGTCTGTGCAAACCCCAAGCGCGGGCGGTGCCAGCCGCACACACGCACGCACCAGGTGTCGTGTTTGGTCATTTGGTGAGCCCCGGGGGTGGGGGGGGAGACGCCGTGAGATCGACGATCGTGGCAGTGCCGAGCACTGCCACGATCGTGAGATCGACGATCGTGGCAGTGCCGAGCTGGCGTGTGTGTACGCGTGTGGTGAGCTGGAGTGCGTGTATGTGCGCGTACTCGCGTGTGCGTAGCTGCAGGGTGGCGGTGCCGCCGCTCGGCTTGGCGAGGAGGAGGAGGTGCTCGCGTGCGCGTCCTGGGCCGTCGTCGCAAGCGAGGTGGACGGCGCGAGGCCGGATACCTCGGGGGGCTCCACGCCGCACGCACAGCGCGCCGCCGAGCCGTCCGGAGAGCACCAGGGGCTTGCGCAGCAGCACGCGGCCGGTACGCAGGGCCCGCCGACAGATACTCGCTCACCTGTACACACGGGAGCCTCACCGAGTCTCAAGACTCTTTTTGAGGAGGGTCCTGCCAAGTTTTGTCAGAGTAATTAGCAGGTCACCTTTCAGCATTGCGATGACGCTTGACCAATATAACCAGTTACGTGGTCTGACAATGCCCTATGCTGGCTATGACGGTGTGCCTGTCTGTATCAGCCCTGACCACGTGCCCTTGCGGGATAAGACTCCGCAGAGAGCTGCAATAGGGACATTGCATCAAACTTAACTCTTGAAACGAATTTATGTATTTTACCAGGTGAGGCTCACTGAGCTACGTAGCTCTTTTTCAGAAGCGACTTGGCCATCACAGACGACAGCTCGACCAAGTGGCTTGATCACCTGGACCTTTACAGCAGCCAAAAACTCTTAAGCGCGCGTTTGTAAATGACGGCGCCCCCATCCTGTCCACGTCAGTACCAGCCGTGACAGAATGCACCCGTGGCAGCCGTGAGGCTTGGCTGTATTCGGCTAACGCCCGTACGTGCCATGTGTCTGCAGCTCGGGAGGTGGGGGTCCCGCAGCCGGCGAAGGGGCCGGTGAGGTCGCCGGGGGGGGGCACGTTCCCTCCGGAGCTGTCGTCTCCGCTGCTGAGCCCGGACTCGGTGACGAGCAAGAACGAGGAGGATGAGGATGCGACGAGGAAGGTGGAGGGAGCACCCAGCACCGCTCACTCGACCACTCGCACACACACACTCGTTCAGTTAAACACTCACCCATGCACCCACAACAACCGTTATTCACCACCAAGTGGCGATGACGTCACCACGGCGCTTGTGCCAGGCTATGTGCACGTTGAGGCCACGTGAAGTGTCAAATTCCCGCTGGCAGGAGGTCACGGGGCAGACCCAGGTGCCACGGGTCGACTGACTGAGATGTTTGGCCGATGCACCAACTGTGCCCCGTGCCCCCCCTACTGTGCCAACTTGCACCTACACCACATACATACAAACTCATTCAGTTTAACACTCACTCAGGCACGCGCTCACTCGTTCAGTTAAAACACTCGCACGGACACTCACTCACACACTCGCTTACATACACTCATTCACAAAGACACTCCGTTGATTCTGTAAAACATGCACACAGACAAACGCTCATTACTCTAAACACTAACAGACACCGACTGCCTAGCTCAGGTAAGCACGCACACAAAAACGGATGCACACATGCACGCACGCATTTACCCACGCGGACACTCGCTCTCTCACTCGTGCGTTGTATTGATCCACACGTGGTGATGGCGGTGGTGTTGTCACAGCGGTACCCGGCGGACAAGGCGTACTTTGTGGCCAAGGAGGTTTGCACCACGGAGCGCACGCACCTCAAGGACCTGGAGGTGGTGACGGTGGTGGGTATCGCGCGCGCATCACCATCCCACACCCCCACAACTCGGCGCGTCGCAAGCCCTGTCGCTGAACCCGGTTTCTCGAGCCGCGCAACGAGTTTACGGCCTCCGCCCGGTCACCGATGACTGCACTTTAATTTGGCTAAATTCCAGTTCTGTAGAATTTTAAACATCCGTTTGAATAACAATGCTCTTAATGTGTAGCTGTGTTCGCCTTGAGCATAATACCTGTGGGTTTGTGTCTGTAAATCATCATGTATACCAGTGTCTCTTTCGCATACCTGCGTATGTTAAGCACCTGCTAACTCGCATACCTGCATTATGGGCGCTACGAATACCTGTGTCCCAGGTATTGGGAGTGTTGTTGCCAATGTACAAGACTTGATTCAGGCAAGTCTGACTGCTGATGAGACACCGTGTGTCGAAACCGGTCCAAAGATTGCTCGTCTCGAATCAACGCGGCTGACATTATGCACTCCCATAAGGCAGTGCGGCTGATGGGTTGTGCGAGAAATTTATTTTTTGTATGTGGAGAGACGGACACGTGGACGAGAGACGTACGTTGCGTCCGCTTATTTATTTTACGTGCGCTAAGCGTGCGTTGTGTGCCGCGCGTGACAGTGGTTCCGCAGTTTCCTGGGCAAGGACGGCCTGGTCATGGAGAGAGTCCCCTCCATGCTCTTCGCCAACATGGACCCCCTCTACGAGTTCCACCGCGGCTTCCTCAAGGAGGTGGAGCAGAGGCTCACGCTCTGGTGAGTCCAACGGCCACCCGGTGATGCCGCTGAACCCGTGACCCGGGTTCGATTCCCTGGCCGCGATACCACAAATGGGCCTGTTTTAGGGGGGCTATTGTTGGCATTCTTCATGGGGCAACACCGTTCGTTCCAAGGCATCTTGTGTGGCAGTGGCATAGAGCAACAAGAGTGTTGCTTTAGAACACCAAAGGGAAATGTCGCTGAGAATATTACCGGTGGAGATGGCTGGCTATGATTGTATTGAACACGTACAGCCCTGTGTAACGAACCCAATGGGAACCTGAGTTCAGTGCCCCACGGCGGCGAACATCATTGGTAAGTGGTATCAGAATTGATATCGGGTCTCCTCTAGCCTTAATTGACCCAGGTTCAGTTCCTGCTCAAGATCAATAACGGTAGCGAATATTTGACCGATCCTGGCCCTTCCCTAGGTTGACTAAACTTGAAGTGAGTACCCGGTGCACTGTGTAAACATCAGCACTGGGGACATGACCAAAGCAGCTGGGCGTAGTTCAGGCCACACCACCCCATCAGTTGCCGTGCCGGCATTCATAGGTGCTCGCGAAAAGCATTTGCCCGAAGAGTTTGCTGAAAAGGCGACACGGGGGATCTTTGTAAATTTTGTGTGGATCTCTGCGTTGGATGCAGGGAGGGCCGGTCGAATGCTCACCTCAAGGGCGACCACCAGCGGATCGGAGACATCATGCTGAAGAACATGAATCTGCTCAAGGTCAGTCTGGGATTTTTCTTCCAGCAAAATACAATCGTGTATGCAGTGAAACGCCTCTTGCCCGTGCCTCTGATATCCTATACCGTGCCATCGATCCGTGGAAAATCCTAATCGTGCTACCTGTGCCTGCATCTCCCCCTGTGACCCCCCCCTACCCCCCGTGTCTCCATGCCTGCCCCCTCGGTGGCGGTGCAGCAGTGCATGGGGCAACTGCGGCAGCACGAGGCGGTGCTGGCCGAGCTGCAGGTGGAGCTCGCCACCTCCGAGCCGCTCGCCGAGTCCTGCCGCGCGTTCGAGCTGCAGAGGGTAACCCCGATATCCGCTACGTAACACGACACGCGGAAATCCCGATATCCGCTACGCAAGACGGGTGGCATCGCCAGACTCGTTAACAAAACGCAGACCTCGACTCAAAAGAGGATAACCTCACCCAGACCCTAACACAGCAGCAGGGTGACCCGATGTCACCGTGGCTCAACGCAAGCAGCCTCGCCCGGCGGGCGCTCCTAACGGCGCTCCTAACGTGTCCCGGCAGGTGTGCTACCTGCCGCTGGCCGCCTTCCTGCCTGCGGCCCCTGCAGCGGCCCCTGCACTACCGCCTGGTGCTGGAGCGGCTGTGCAAGCACTACTCGCCGGCGCACCCTGACTTCAAGGACTGCCGCGGTGAGCGAACGGGGTCGAGGGAGTGTTTGCTCGTGGGCTTAAGCGTACAATTTAAACGTAATCGCGGTCAATAATAATAAGTCACGATTTCAACTGCTCCGCTGCCGCCAACACCACCAGCACCACCACGCTGTATTTGCCCCTCGCTGTCGACGAGAGAGGCCGAAGCGGAGGCGCGAGGAGGATCCGCAGGCGAGAGGGGAAGGCGGCAGCAGCCAGCCGGGCAGTGAGCTGGCAATTTTGCAAGCTCTGCGGTCCTCTATATATCACGGTGTCTCTATACATTACGGTGTTATCGGCAAATTAACGAGTGCTTTTACTCATTGTTGAGCATAGGCCCAAAACAACAAGTGGCCAGTGACGGAGACCGCACGATTGACGGTGTACTCGGTAACAGTTATCGCATTGGGAGGGAATTCCAGAGTCGTAGCTTATGGAGGAGAGTGAGGGCTCGCGCAAGAAATTGTAGGCCTGCACCTTTATGTGTGAGGGGTGCTGCCGTAGCGATCCGCGCCATGCTACACAAGCTGATAACCTGGGTTCAAATCCCGGCCATGGGTCATACCAGTGGTAAGGGGGATCTAAAGTGGTTCTGGGCCTCCGCTAGGTCAGCTAAGCCTTAGATGGGTCACTCTCCTTGGAAGAGGGGATTCCAAAGTGGAGCGGTGCACGTACGTATGTTGAACTTATTTTGCACCGTGCGTAGCCGACTGTGCGAATCGTAGGTGCGAGTGTGAGGCAAGCGAGGTGTGGCCTGCTGTGCGGTGGTGGTTTCACGGTGCGGACGATACAAAACGGTCCGTCTGGATTCCTCTTCAGCACTCGAAGAGGAATCTGAGTGAATTTCACAGGAACGGTAACCATGGCAGTAGCGAGAGAGCAGTGTCGGGAGGCGACTGCCCACCAGTGAGCGTGTGACATGGAGTGAGTGCGCCGGCCGTGCGGGCGTCTTACGCGTGGGCCACTTGGGGAATCTTGGTCTCCGTGCGAGCAGCGGCCTTGGCGGAGGTGAACGAGGTGACGAATCAGCTGCACGCGAGCCTCATCCGCCTGGAGAACCTGCAGAAGCTGAGCGAGCTGCAGCGCGACCTCGTGGGGCTCGACAACCTCGCGTCGCCCGACCGGGTGGGCCTGGGCACACAGGGACACACGGTCATGCAGAGACGTGGGGATCTGGGTGCATGGGGCATGGGGACATGGGGATGTGGGCACACTAGGATCTAGGGACACGGGTCACAGGGAGTTTAGGGACATGGGGATCTGAGGACACTGGCACTTACGAGAACATGGGGACTTGGAATCATGGGGACACAGAGATATAGACACACGCAGAGACATGGAGACACGTGGGAATGACGCTTTGGGAAACGGCTACCACCATGTGCTACGAAGAAGGCCCATTGCCCGATAACATCGCCTCTCAAGATATTTTTCCTGCCAAGGCCACGGAGTTATTGACGCAACGTGTTGAGTTTTGACCGTAGCACCTCCACCAAGTCGCTGACTGTGGCGTTGGTGTACCCCGTGCGAGGCGCCTCAAGGCGGGGCGGCTGTGCCATGGGCGCCCTATTCATGGGAGTCTTCTTGCTTTTGTGCGAACCGCCAAACGTGCAGGAGTTTGTCCGCGAGGGCTGCCTCAACAAGCTCACGAGGAAGGGCCTGCAGCAGAGGATGTTCTTCCTGGTGAGCAGTCACTCCTCTCCCCTGTCACTCAACACCCCCCTTACATTCTCTGTCCAAATCAGCTCAAGCCTCCCGCAAGTCACGCGATGTGTCTGTGTCGCCACCCCTACTCTGAATCCCTCCCCCATCGCCTGCCCCGTGAAAACGGACGCTGCTCCATGTAGCTCACTTCTGCTTGCTCATTCCTTTCTCTCTTCTCCCTTCCCCTCTCATCATCATCTTCATCACGTTCTCATCATCTCTGACATCTTCTTAGCCCGGTCATTCCTTCTCCCCTTCCTACTCCACTTCCTGCCTGGCGCTCCTTCGTTCTTCCTGCTGCTCATCTTGAGACGTGGCCTCATTGACGTTTGACCGTAACGAGAGGCGCCTTCCCAAGCCCTCGACGATGACCGTGTCACCCCCCGTGACTCCGCAGTTCTCGGACCTCCTCATCTACACGAGCAGGGCGCCCACCTGCACCAACCAGTTCAAGGTTCACGGGCGGCTGCCTCTCATCGCCATGAAGGTGCGGCCCCAAACCCCCCCCCCAACCCCCCCCCCCCAACACCCCCACTGGTGACACAGCATCCTCCTCGTGCGCGCTCGATGGAGCCACAGGGGGTCATGTGGGTTAGGGCTTGGGACAGGGCTAAGGGGGAAACGTTAGAGCACGTGGTGTGTGTTTAGGGGACAACACGTGCACTCTCGGTGTGAGCTGTGTCTGATACTTGTGCTGCGTGTGCTGCACAGGTGAGGGAGAGCGAGCAGGAGTTTGGCGTTCCGTACTGCTTCACCATCTCCACACCGCACAAGAGCATTGTCGTGGCAGCCAGGTGAGTGCCTTGCTCACCACTCACCGTGTGCTACCTTGCCTTGCTGTGGCTTTCCTAATCTGTATACCACGTTGCCTTTCGAAACTGTAATTGTCATTCAGAGCCAATGACACAATTGCAATTGGCCCCATGTCTGCGACGGTTTATTCCACGGTGTTGTTTGTTTGTTGTTATTGTTCGTCGTTGATGCGCTGATGCGGGGTTCGTGGTGTCCTCCCAGCTCCCGTGTGGAGTTGGACAAGTGGATGGAGGACATCGCCCTGGCCATCGAGCTCATGAAGAAGTCCAACACTCACCCCAGCTCCCCGCTCGAGAACGGGTTCAGCGACAAGTTCAACCGTGAGTGTCCCAGCGCAGCGGCTCGCCATCCCAGCTAGCTCGCCACGCTAACAGTCTGTCAAAGGCTATGCGAGGATCTTTGTGTATACGTATGTGTAAGTATCTATCTGTATCTGTGTCTGTGTGTATGTGCAGGTTCGTCGGATGAGCTGTCGCTGGAGCCGGAGTCGGAGGAGGATCTGAATCCGCCTCCGGGCTCGCCGGACCGTCAGGCTGCGGGGCACCGCGCGAACACGACGATGCAGGTCTGCTGGCACCGTAACACCAGCATCTCCATGCTGGACCTGAACCGCGCCGTCGAGGTGAGACCGCAGTGTCCGTCTTAACCCGCGGTGCACGCAGCTCACGGCGAGTCTCGCCACCCGTCCACACTCATGCCAGCCTCTAGTCCACACCGCCACAACCCGTGCCGTTACTCCACCCCCACCGTCACAGCCCGTACCATTACTCCACCCACACTGCCACCGCCCATACCGGTTGTACCCCACTCACACCACCACTTGTACCCGTACCACCCAACCTCAATTCACAACACTTGCATCCTCATGCGTGCCCACGGTCTGCGACCCACGATAGCCACATTGCGCCACCACCTACGCAAGCATCCTATCCAGGGCTGCGCGCCAAGATTCTTGAGCCAAGGCCACGTTGAAAATCCCTGAGGGGTCCTGGTACGAGCTCAGAAAGGATCACGTGGAAACGAGCGGACGCGGCGACACCTTCTTGGTCACGTAGTTTGTTTTGTTTGCTTGGTGATGACTCTCAATCGGCGTCACTGCCGCCTCTTACCACTAGCAGGGGGCGTTTCCCCGCAGCCGTCGGAGCTGTTAGCGGTGGGGGGGGGGGGGGGTGGCGGGGGAGCGTTTGTCGCCCGAGACCTTGAGCGAGCGCAGTCGTTATCACCATCATCCAAGGCCGGCGAGAAGGCAGGGTGGCCTGATCCTCCAGCCGTGAGCGTAGCGCTCCTGAGGCACGTATGCCAACTCCAGATGATAATAATAATAATATTTGGTACGTGCAATCCTATGTCACTTGGGGCTGCCAAACTTTCACGAATACGCCGGGAATCTCTTACCGGAATTGGCATCGATCTCCCGGTGACGATTGAAAGCAATCCGGGAGATTTTTAACGGTGGGGTATTTGTAACGTGGGATACAGACTCGCAGCAAATCATTTGCGTCGTAGTCGTGAAAGTTAAAAGACCGACTCCTCTGCTTAAGGAGCGGCGGCGCGTCTGCGGGCTGTCGCTGCGAGTGAGATGCACGCCGGTCGCTCGCGAATGAGCGGTGTGGACGCCTGTTCGTTTGCAGAACCAGCTGTCGGGGTACCTGCTGCGCAAGTTCAAGAACAGCAGCGGCTGGCAGAAGCTGTGGGTCGTCTTCACCAACTTCTGCCTCTTCTTCTACAAAACCCACCAGGTTGTGTGTTTAATCTCGACAGTTCTACTGAGATGTTGTAGGGTCGTGAGTAAAAGCTGGAAATTTTTTGAAACTGAAGACGTATAACTTCCACACGTTTTTTGTTGTAATGTTCATCTTGTAAAACAAAACTAAAACCTAATTCTGTCGTGTCGATGATGACGGCGATGATGGCGATGATGATGACGGCGTTGTTGATGACGGCGATGGTGTTGCCACGTCTGTAGGATGACTTCCCTCTGGCCAGCCTGCCCCTGCTGGGCTATTCCATCACAGTCCCGACGGAGGCTGACGCCATTCAGAAGGACTACGTGTTCAAGCTGCAGTTCAAGTCCCACATCTACTTCTTCCGTGCCGAGAGCGAGTACACCTTCGACCGGTGTGTGTGTGTAGAGTATGTATTGTGGTATAGTGTATATTGTGGCGCTGGAGCAGCGGATTATCGTGCTGTGCTATGAACCCGGCCGCCCGAGTTCAATTCCCGCTCACGGCCAACACCGGTGACGATGATCTGAACCGGTCCTGGGCCTTCTCGAGGCTGACTCGGCCTCAAACGGGTACCTGGTGCGGTGTGTAAACATTGCCACTGGGGAGACAAAGGCGGCCAGGCGTGGTGCTGGCCACCCACCCCTTCGTATGCAGTGCCACAAAGCCTTCATAGGTGCTCCTACGCTCGCCAGTTCACCGTAACCGGTGTCTATTTTATCCTCCAGTCACTTCCTCGTCAGTTTCAGTGATAAATCATCATCTCGATGCGATTGCCTTGTGCAGCAACTTGAGTTGTTTTTACGGTGAGCTAAGTAATCGCCGCCAAGGTGCAGCCCCGCAATGGTTCGCTCACGCCACCGCTGGCGGAAGGGCCTCCACTCGAGGGAGCTCAAAAGATCCCACCCTAGAGGGTACAATGGCCTACTCTTCCACACTGGCCGAGCATCTTTAAAGAGGGGAGTGCCCACGCTCTACCACGCCACACCACAAACTGCGGCGAACCGATTAGTTGTTTAAGTTGCCATCAAGGGAGATCAAAATCAACTGGGGGACCTCTGGATTCCAAGCCCGGTGTGCTGTTACACCTCCACCCAATCCCTTTGCATTGGTATTTAGACGCTTTACCAATTCACGTCGTCGTCGCTGTTGTTGCCGCAGGTGGATGGAGGTGATCCGCAGTGCCACCAGCTCAGCGGGACGGACGCGTCTGCTCAGCCGCAAGGATTCACGCCCCGTGTAGCGTGGGGGGCAGCATCACAGGGAGCCTGGGTGCCACCAGCACCTGTAGGCCCCGAGGCCCATCGCCTGCCATGAATAGCACGGGCACCACCACCACAACGAACGGCCTTGATCACACTACCACGTACAGCCTAGGTGCCACCAGCACGTACAGGCTGAGACCCACCACCACCACCACGTACAGCCTTGTTCCCACCACCACAATCAGACTAGGTTCCACCATCACCCTGTAGAGCCTGGGTTCGACCACCACAAATGGGCTGCTATGCACCACAATGTACAGACTGGGTCCCACCACCCACAGCTTGGGGTCCCACCACAATTGAGCCATCACTGTGTCTGCAGCGGAAGAACGAGGGGCCTGCGTCCTCACACTGCCGATTCCCAGATGCCCAGATGCGGCTGCATCGGGCACCTTGTGGCTCCAGTTCAGGTCGGTCGCGATGAGCTTCGGGCTCAGGATTTTGTAATTGCAGGTGGCACGCCGGGCAGGGTGATTAATCGGCTGTGGTCATACCAGTTTTCCCCGGAGGCTGCGTGGAGTTTTCTTGGTTGGGAAAACCTGAAGCGGAGCTCACCGATACCGGAACTGGGGCCGCATCACGCCGCCGTGCCACTACGAGAGACGAGTTCAAAAAAAGTGCATAACAGTATGTGCCTCTGTGCAAAAAGTCACTCGAGAACGTTGTTTTGTAATCTTCTTTTTTGTCTTTTTGATGATTTGTACGATTTCTATTTTGGTGCCCGTAGTATTGGGGGGGGGGCACTGGTAAAGGTAGTGTTAGTTGCGTAGACCGGTAACGCCTTGTACAGTGGTCGTTACCGTTAGATGCGTAAGGGTTAATCAAAAAATGCCTACGACGCGCATTTTTAAACTCGCTCCACTTATCGATAACAAGGAATAACGTTCCTTTGGCGACACTGCGAGAGTGAAATTTGTTTCCGATTTACTTTATTTACTTTGGTGTTTTGTATGCTGCTGTGAAGGAGTTGGGGGGAGGGTGATTTCCGGTAGCGTTTTTTTTCCCTGCCGGTGCACGCTTGTGACATCCAGGAGCGTGGCAGCATGGGCCCTGACGCGGCTTCCTTAGCTTCACAAAGCGAGGAGCAACCGTAAGAGTTAATTCGTTTATGTTTCGTTGAGTTTCGCCGGGGTGAAAATGGGCGCAAGCTGTTAAAAAGACGGCGCGATGAGACTTTTTAAATGTGATCACTGAGCCAGCACCCTTGAGACCCTGAATTTAACTCATAGGCCTTCGTGACCAATGTTTTGATTCGTAATTGATTTATTCCCGCAGCTATATGACCCATAAATCAATGATGTACTGTCAAAATCCGAGTGGCCACGTGCGATTAGTTTCATCTTCTCAACCCCGGGCGTGATCGATTACACTAACACGTTATTTTAAATTCTCATTCAGAAAATTTGGTTTCCAATGAATATGGCCAACCCCAACTTTGAGGGCTAAAACAGACATTGGACGACTGACACATTGCGTGACAGAGCGCGCCGTCCAGCGTCGTCGGGCGAGGGAGACCTCGAACTGAAGCGACCTTGGAGAGTTTCTCCTCGGTTCCCTCCACGACGCTGAGGCTCGGTCGACAGTAGGAGAGCCACTGCAGTAATCGTCCGTCTGGCCATGCTACCACGGTAGTGCTAACGGGGGAATGTGTCTCTCCTCACCATGTCCGACGTTTCGCTGCCCGTTGCTGGGAGCTTCTGCTGGACGAGAGTGGGGACAAAAACCTCGGCAGGGGGGCAGGGATATCATTGGTGGGCGATAAAATCCGACGGAGAGTTCACTACGGGGATGGGGCCGGGCGCGATCGCTCGCTTGTGCGACGCGAGGCGATCCGAGTCTTGCGTGCCGCCGAGACGGAGTGCGTGCGGCGACGGCAGCATGGACATCGACGCCAGCCAGTGCCTCGCCAACCGTAAACTACTGAATGTCTGCGAGGAAGTATTCTGCAACGACGCGCATTTTGAATCGCTCCTTTTTGCAGTAACAGTATTAATGCGCGTGTGCAACGATGGTGCACGGGGTCAGCCGACATCCCGACTCGCCCAGTCTGTGCGCCACACCACGGCCGCCTGGGTCACGTGGTTTGTTGGGGGCTGCCCAACGCTGCGTCAAGTAAGTAAATCGACTTTTGGGGGGAGGGGTGGGGATGGAACCCCCACGTCGCCAACCAAACGTGCCAGGCGCATCGACAGCGCGGAAGTGCTTGGCCAAGTAAAGGCTCGGTGAGTCTCGAGACAAATGTTTCTGGAGGTGCCTTGCTTCGAGGGATGTCTGACCAAGTTCCCCGAACGAGGGAGGCTCGTGGGAGGGAAAATCAGAGATAGCGGAGGTAGACCCACAATGGTGCAGCGAGATGGGTTCACGAAGCCCCCCCCCCCCCCCCCCATACCAACATCTCCTGGCCACCTCGTAGACCAGTGGCTTTGGGAATCTCACTCGCATGTCGCAACGTGATCCATCAACCCTCGCTTGCTTCCAAAGCACCGGATTACAGACCTGTTCCTCGCCCCTTCATCCAGCGAAAAAACACCTTAAGAGAATCGAATCGAATCACGATTATAATTTGGACTCTGGCAAACTGTAGATTCTAATCCTAATCAAACCGCGACTCCCCCCTGCAGTAATTTTTCATGATTTATTGACCGCATTCTAAATAAACACCTGATCCTCGCTGATCAGCGCATGGCCCGATATCTATCCAATATTGATTACATCTCGTTCGTATTGAACATTCTCGGTTTGTTTTACCCGTTCTTGTCTCTCGGTACCCGGATGGAGCTGTTACACGGAATAACCGCCGGTTTTTTTTGTAACATTTTAGCGAATCAGCTTTTACACAGCTTTTAAGTAGCACGTAAGGTTTATTGTGTTTGTTTTTGAGTCGTGGAAGTCTGTGTGCGCACCTGTGTGTGTGTGTGCGCGCGCGCCTACACTTTAGCCGAAAGTAAAATTTTGCAAATTCCACACACTTAGGATTATATTCGTAACCCACCAAAGAGTTTGGGTGTAGATACCTCACAAAACAATCAAACGCATCATTTGTACCGATCTTGTATGGGAGAACTTAACACTGTTAGCAAGGTTAGACGCAAGTGGTGGGAAGAAATCTGTATTTTCAGTCGGCGTTTTCGTGTTTTATTTTATAAGAAGTAGTTACGCAACGGTACATGAAGGCAACAGCTCCTGTTTATATGAACGGCTTTGCTTTACATTACAATAAAGAGTTGAGACGGAGGCTGCTCCGTGCGGTTTGCATCCAACGCGGGGACACGAGACCACGCACGCCCATCACCTCGATGGGAACACCCTGAGGATGGGAACACCCTGGTGAGGATGGGGGGGGGACACGGGGTACGGTAGCAGCAGCAGCAGCAGCAACAACAGCGACGTGGGAGGAAAATCCCCCCTTTACCGCTCCCCCCCCCCCCCTTTCTGGGAAGACACGGGAAGAGCCGGAGAAGATAAGATTGTGAACACCGACTCTCAAGTCGTGGGGAATGTTTTGGTTGAGGTTTAGGATTGCAGCCAGGGTTTGGGTTTGGTGTTAACGAGTTTGACGATGGGGTGGGTGTTGCATTCAGGTTATGATGTCACAGAATAACGCGGAATTTGTGAGTTTCAGCTGTGCTGGGGCATAGCGACCTGTGTCTCGCACAAGGTCGCACGGACAAGGGAATTCATCGGGGACACGGAATCCTTGAGAGATCCTCAATGAAGTCACGGCAGCCCGTGGCACCGCTGTTGTTGTGGTAAATGGGCAGCTTTGGTAGTTACACCTCTTCTATCACCGTTGTTCAATGCAGGCCCAGAGGCCCGACACCACAACGTGGCCAGCTGATAGCGCTGTCAGCATGACTTTGTGACACAATCCACCCTCATCTCTTCAGAGCAGCGCAGCTCTCGCATCCGACAAAATAAACTGCGACACTGCATTGGCACATGCTGTAGAAACTGAAGATATGGCGCATCCCCATCTCTCATAGCAAAGCGATGAAGAAGTTAACTATTATACATGTTCCTTTTCGGCCAGTGTTATTGAGGAATAGGAGTTTGTTGGCCTTTGTGTTAGAGAATGACCCATTGAAGCAGACACTGCAGAGCTGACCTCTGACATATCGTCACCTGACGTCTGGTCCGCACAGCAGGGGGCAACACTTTCTCACCTGCTAGGCCACTGAGAGATACTCTTTGGCACATGGCTGTGAAACTGATGCGTTCTTTTTGAAGCTGGAATTTAGTCAAATTAAGTGCAGGGCCAAATTTAATAGAATTTAATTTTTTTTGTCATTTAGCGACTGAACAGAGACCAACTCACTGCACTTGAGAATGCAGTTTCATCCCAGTCGGCTGCCTAAATGAGAACCACGGTTTCTCAGATGTGCGTGCCGACCGCTCCGACACCCTGCCACCTTTGATGAGTAATCTACCTGACGGCGATAGAAGACCAACTGACACACAATCGGTGTGACCTATTCACTTCCGATAACGAAGATTCTCGCTTCAAATCGCTTTGGGAGACTCTCTGGGATGATGAGGTGCTTTAGGATTGAGCTGTTCATTGGCCAGGGGATGCCAGTACAGCAATGGATTCTAAAGTGTATCTGCGGAGCCTTCAGCGTTATCCCCTTGTTTGTATGACTGTGGTCATCCACAACAGACCACAACATTACGATGCAATGCCCGATCCACATATATACGAAAGGAGACATCACAGCGATACACTCCGCTGCTTCCGACCCGGTTATCTGGCTTGACCGCCTGAATGTGAAATTGCAGTTGTTACTCTGCATGAGTAAAAAAAAAACTGTTTGGAATGTGCCAAACATTCCAATGCAGGACCATCCTGAAAAATAATCTTGATACCCAGTATATAATAAATAAAAGGCATTAATTATATGAATGCTGACGGAGCTGAGCAGCGTATTACTCTGCCCAGGAATTAACTGTCCATCCTTCGTAGGACACTTCAAAATTTTCCTGAAAACGAATGAATAAATAACTCCGCTCGTATAACTCCGTGAAGAATTTGAATAAGCCGAGTTATTTATTCCGGTCTCTCAACGTGAACTCATTGTATGACAGTTCGCCCCCAGGGGCTGATGGTGAGCTCTGAATGCAAGATATCATCAGGGACCGTAGGAAGTTGTGTACAATTATGTAATTACGGTTTTAATTTGGTCAGATAGCCAACTGCTTCTCAAGGAATTTGTTGCAGCAGCGTGCGGTTTTTAGATTTTGGGACAATTCTCTTTTTTTAGTGGTTTTATTTTTCGGTATACCGTGGAAGGAAAGCAAAGCGCCTTCATAAAAAACACCACCCGCACGCACGCACGTGTGGGTTATTACGCTCAAACCTGTGTTATGTTTACGAGCGACAGAACGGATCCCGGTAAGTGCCACCTTGCTACCCTGCAGGTAAGGTGTCTCGTGAATTATGGCCCCATCTCAACATGACCCACCAACCCTGGCTACAAGTTGCTGCATTCAAGTTGCGCATCAGTCCCAGTCCATCTGTTGCTGCGTTGAAGCTGAGCACTGAGAGTCGCATGAGAGAGGAGAGGGAAGCAGAGGTGAGTCCCGAGCGGATACTGAAGAAGCCGAGTGCGACATTGAAATCCATCCAGAATTATATTGGGAGGGAGCCAGTGTAGGGCTCCGAGTCTTGGGGCTCCAGGCGGGAAGTCTGGCAGCAGGATTTGTTATTTGGCAATGAAGGCCTGAAACGTGGTTAATTTGATTTTAATTTCAGACCACAGTGTCGTTGTTGATGAACGAATGTGTTGAGTTTTTGTTGTTGTTCATTGTGCTTGTATGCCTCGGCCAACACAGCACCATCACCAAATGAATGTAATTATGATGAAAGGGCCATTGACTGAAACGTTATCTATTATATTACATTTCCTCTTTTGGGCAGTGTTGAGTATTATTGACAAACTTGTTCGTCAAATCACACGACATTTCTTTCATACCCTGCCCAAATTCTCATCATGGCATCACCCACCGTTCGTGCCACTCGCCATGCCACGTTCAACTTGGCACGGGGAATTAAACTTAACAAAAAATATCAACGCACGTTCGTGGATGGCTCTTCCCCCGGTAGGGTAGGGGCGTGCAGAGAGGAAGCCCGGCATGCCTTAATAAAGTAAAGTAGGAAACACAAAGGACTCTGTGCTTGTCCGAGATGAGAATGTAAGAGAGTTCACCGAGATGAGAATATATATTCTTGTTTTTTTCGGTAAAGTCACGTGGAAGGGAAACAATACAATTCTCACGACGTTTAGATTGCAACACAAGAACATTTTCTTGTTGTGGTTTTCACACCTGATGATGATGATTGCTTGTGTTGCAATCGAAACGTCGTGAGAATTGTATTGTTTTATATTTTATTATTTTATTGTTTCCCTTCTACGTGACTTTACCGAAAGAACCAAGAATATGAATCCCTGCAGTCACGAAAGCTTTAAATCGAGATGAGAATGTTAGAGAGTTAACCGAGGCGTAGAGGTTTAACCGAGGCGGTGAAGATCAAGAATGCGCAAGGCTCCGTGTGCTGCGTGCTTCTCTCTCGTGTTGGCCTTATAAGGCGGTGGGAGAGGCTGGGTTCCTCACGCCCCCGGTACTCCACTACGCTCTCATTAGCGACGATGAGCTCAGTTTTCTTTGGAATCCGGCCTCTATGGATGTCTTGTAATTAGCCTCCTAAGGATGGCATGTCCCTGCAGGCAGCATGCTCTACACGGACGGCATTTTTATAAAGACGACATGTTTTTTTTTCTTACAGACAGACATCATGGTTTTACATACACCATGCTCCGGCAGCGTGTGACAACAGGCAGCATGTTACTACAGGCAGCATGTTACTACAGGCAGGGTGTTCCCTTGATATCATGCTCTTACAAGAAGTTTTGCAGACAACATTCTCCTACAGACATAATATTTATACTCTTTGGTTCTTTCGGTAAAGTCACGTAGATATAAAATAAATTAAATCACGACGTTTCAATTGCAACACAAGCATCATCATCAGGTGTGACAACCACAGCAAGAAAAAAAAATTCTTACCGAAAGAACCAAAGAGTATGGATCCCTGCAGTCACGAAAACTTCAAATCTAGACATAATGTTCCTTGAGACAGCATGCTGCTACAAACAGCATGTCCATACAGGCAGCATGTCCATACAGGCAGCATGCCCCTACATATTACAATGTTCACCTCGATAGCATGCTGCTACCAGATACTCCTGTATATTGCAAATCCTACAGACAGTACTCTCATACCAATGGCACTCTCCTTCAAAAAGAACACTCCTGTCGTGTGCGTCTATCACACAAATGTGAACATTTCTGAGAATTTGCAACGATACCACAAGAAATTTGTTGCCTCCTGGCTCTGGAGACCACCTGGAGAAGATTCCAGGAATGTGTTCACAATGATGGCGAACAAGTGGAGACTCCTTGACTTTTTGAAGCTATTAGCATCCATTTGTTATCATGTTACAGTGTATCATTATTATCCGTTCTTTTTCCATTAAAAACGATAGTCCCACGTAAGTGTTAACATTGTTTTGAAGCACCCTGTATACAAGACACTCTTACAGCACATTCCTCAACAGCAGTGTGCTCCAACAGACCGCAAGCTCTTACAGATAGCAGGAGTCTAAAGACAGCATGCGCCTAAAGCGTCTTACACAGACAGCACGCTCGTGTGCAGCATGCTGCTACGGTGACATCCTGCGCAATGGTGATTCGGCACATTCCTACAGCAAGTGTGTGTTTTTGTTGACACCGTACAGGATAGCTTAACTGCATGTCCCCTCCTGATAGATGACACCGATAGAAAAATTGGCTGAGCGTGCCAATAGCCCCCTGGGTATCGGCACGCGGTGTCCAAGGACACGGGGAGGAGGAGAGCCGTCCCTAGGGCACGGCGAATCGGGGGCGACCGCCCCGGGCCCCGCGCTTTGGGGGGCCCCGCGCGCGCTACGACATCACGGTGTCAGATGCAATACTTTCAGATGAGGCGTCTGGTTCACCACCAAACATTGTGCGCTGATCGTACACGTTGTACATCGTTGTCTTCGCGGGGGCCCACACGGTGTGGTTTACCCCGGGCCTCTGGGCAGAGGGGTCGATGCCCCCCGTGTTTGTTCACCTCTCCTGCCTCCCGCGTTTGCCAACCGCGCCAATTTAAGGGTTTCCCCTCCCCCAAGGCTGTGGCAATGCATCCGTGATGGA